ATTTTTTTAAATGTTTATTTTTGAGAGAGAGAGGAAGCAGGGGAGGGGCAGAGAGAGAGACATACAGAATTCGAAGCAGGTTCTAGGCTCCTCACTGTCCGCGCAGAACCTGACTTGGGACTCAGACCCACGAACAGTGAGATCCATGACCTGAATTGAAGTCAGATCCTGAGCCACCCAGATGCGCCATCAAGTGTGAGAAGTTTTAAAAGCTCTGCAGATGAATCCAGTGTTTACAAGAATCAGAACCACTGGTCTAGATTGTGAGTAACTGATCTAGCACCAGCGGTTTCCAGAAGTGGCTGCTTAGCACTTGTCAGCCAGCAGTCCTGATTGGCAAAGCGATGGGTTGGCTTTATGATCTGGTCATAGAATTGCAAGAAGCTTTGGCTGATAGTGAAACGGAGTCCTCCCTTTTCAGGGCTCACTGCTGTGCTCCACGGAACGCCCCCTCAAGCTCTGCAGTAAAGGAGGCTGCATCTGTCACTCACTGGCCACTGCCAGCTCCAAGTATGAAACCTGTGTGTGTGTGGCTTCTGTCTGTGCTGGGTCTGACTCCTACTATGTAAGTCCTTTGTTCAGGGACCTTGTTAAACAAAATGGTTATAAGGATAGAAAGCACGGCACTTTCTGAAATGACATAAATCCAGCAAGCTGCCTGCCCACTTCCTAGGGAAGCTCTACCCCGTTGGAGCTGCCTGATGGAACTGCAAAGGGAACTTAGCAGACCCTGAGTTTCCGGGAGGAGACAGAAGGGAGCTTTTGAGAAGTAGAAGTCTCATGTGAGTGGCTCATCTCTCTGCCAGCAGAGGCTTGAGAAAAAAAATGCAAAGGTCTGAGGGGTACTCCCAGCATCACAGAGCAGGTGGGGTGCACAGGAAGCCGTGCCAGGGCCAGGAGCCCAGGTCCCCACCTCTTGTGTTCCTTACCGCCCTCCCCACAGCAGAACCTACAGCTTGTTTCCTTTTTGTTTTTGGAAGAGATTTCTTCTTGGGGCTGGAGTCCAGGCCCTGCTTCAACCCAACAGCCAGAGATTGCCTGGAATAACCTTGGGAGATAGATAGATTTTTAATACACAGAACATAAATACCGATGTCACCATCCCCCATAATTAACAAATGCTATGGTATCTACTTGCTTGATTTTGTTATTTCTGTTTTGCAAGAAGGCACCTCTGGACTGTCCACGTGTGGAGAGCCTACGTGTGGTGCCCTGAGGGCAGCCAGACTACTTCCGTGGCCTTCCAGAGCTCATTCTAGTCAACCAGGTGGAAGGTGCAAGACCTTTTATGCTGGGGGCCTTCTTGCATTTGGACAACGCTAAGAGAAACCTTGAGGAGGAGGGACTCCATCCTGCCGGGGGGAACTATATTGTCCTAGGAGATAGGGCAGTGGAAGCGTACCCCACCCCAGACCATGGTGAGGGGCCACCTGTTCTTTCCTGCTGGCCTCCATTCTCCTTTCCCCTCAGGAAAGGGCCTCAGTTTTGGAGAGATGATGAAAGACTTCCTCCAGAATGCAAAGCAGGCATGGATAGGCCTTTCAGGGGCCATTTCGTAAGGTCTCACCTTCATGAAAGGTCTCAACTTTTTAAATTCTTTCCAGTAAAACACCTAGTTGTGTTCTTGTGTTGGGTGTTAAAGATGTTAGATGCAAATATGTAAACTATACCACAATTTTTACATAATATTTAATTTTCTAGGAGCCTTAAAAATGTGGGGATAGGCTTTGCTAGACCTCTAAGAAGTCCTGTCTGACCAACTGGAAAAGACAGGTTGGAGGGTGACCTGTCTCATTCTGTGGATAGAAAATCCCCCATCCAAGCTGTTCGAACACCCAGACTTGGGGGCTGACTGAACTGATCACAGTGCTGAGGAGAGGCCAAGAGCTGAGCTCCCCTTTCCATGTTGTTCTACATCCTTACAGGGCACCCAAGGAGAGGAAGCAGTGAGCTGGACCTGGACTCTTAAGTCTGAACTTTGGGTGTTTCCGAGATTATTCTGCCCAGATCACTAGGCTAGAAATGAGAGAAGCTTTCAGAACAAGTACTCCTTTCAGAATTAAAGATCACAAAGTTTCCAGGAGGGCCCTCTGGACATTTCTTCAGGAACGTGAAGGTGACTGCAGGTGTAGGAGGGCCAAGTGTACTGTCTCTCGCTGCTCCCATCCCCATGTCGTGGCCTAGTCACCAGTTGTTCCCTGATTTACTTGATTTTAGCCTAAACAACACACTGTGAAAGAACCCCTGCAGATTCTGGAAGGTCACAATAAAAAAAATCTTAACATGGTCCCTGCAGGTTTTTTCTGTTTTCAAGAAGACAAACAGCTATGGCATCTTTGGGAAGACAAGTTGGCTGGAGTAGGGGTGAGGCCTCTCCAGGGCCCTTTGGCCTCCTGTTCTCACAGCCAGCTTTAATACCTAGGGAGCTATTAACAAGTGCTATATAAACCCATAGAATGGCTTGCTTTGTTTGTTTTTACAACCTCTTAACAAGGGAAGAGGAAGTAAAAAAACCACAGGGAGGCAGAATGGGAAGCCACCCAAACTCCTCTACCTCACTTCCCCTTCACGTAAGCACCAAGGGTGCTTTCAAAGATCCAAAAATACTTGAGAGGTCCTAGACTACTTTTGTGTCCTATAAATAGAACCCTTGCTGTCTAGGGCCTTGGGGACACTTAACAAGCTTTATCAAATAAAAGTTTACAGGAAAACCTACATGAACTTTTAAAAGCAGAGTTGAATGAACCTCATTTTCCACAGGAATAAAGTTGGGGGGGAGAGAGAGAGAGATCAAGCACATGAGCAGAGCAGAGAGAGAGAGAAGGAGAGAATCCCAAGCAGGCTTCACATAATCAGTGCAGAGCCCTACGTGGGGCTAGATCTCACAAACCTTGAGATCATGACCTGAGGTGAAATCAAGACTCAGATGCTTATCCAGCTGAGCCACCCTGGCACCCCCTGAAATTTGTTTTAAGAGGAAAATTTTCTTGACCAGTTGACCAACTCTTGGCTTAAAGGGGAAGTAAAATAAAAACTGCAATGACAGTTTTGAAATGATCAATAAGCATGTTGTATATAAAAATTATGGGAAATAAAGCTGTACTTTGAGGTAAACTCATAGCCTTAAAATGCTTTTATCATTAAACAGAGATTAGAAATAAACTGATATTTATTGAAAGTTTAATTTGTTTATTTTTTAATGTTTATTTTTGAGAGAGAGATCGCGAAGGGGAGAAGGGCAGAGAGAGAGAGAGAGAGGGAGACAAAGAATCAGAAGGAGCCTCCAGGCTCCAGCCTCTGAGCTGTCAGCACAGAGCCTGATGTGAGAGAGAGAGAGAGAGAGAGAGAGGGAGACAAAGAATCAGAAGGAGCCTCCAGGCTCCAGCCTCTGAGCTGTCAGCACAGAGCCTGATGTGGGCCTTGAACCCACGAGCTGTGAGATCATGGTCTGAGCTGAAGTCGGATGCTTAACCAACTGAGCCAACCAGGCGCCCCTATTGAAAATTTAATTTGTATAGAAACTGCACTTAAAGATATTTTACTGAATCTTTGTAGTACTTATAAGGTGGGCACTGTGACTTGCCCTTATCTTTTCAAAATGCTCCAAAGTACGACTAGGCGTATCACCGTGATGGCCTAGGTTCTTAGTTTCTGGGAGTATTTGACACTTTTCTTGATTCAATGCTACAAACATTTATTAATGTTTATTACGCACATCGAACTTTAAGGGATGAAGAGATGAATAATTGATGTCCCCTACCCTATCAGACCCAGTCATGTGTGTGATGTTGATGTAGGTGTATCAGAAGAGCAGAAGACGACACAGGTCAGAGCATGATCGTAACTAAGCTCCCAGCTAAGGTCAGCTGTGTTTAGTGCTAAAAATAAGTTCCAAACAAAGTACCCCTGGAGCCCAGAAGAAAGTGATTCTCACTTGGGTTGAGGGCAGGAGTCAGCTGTTCAGGGCCTGTGTCACAAAGATCTTTAAAGCTTTGTTGGGGCACCTGGGTGGCTTAGTCGGTTAAGCGTCCGACTTTCGCTTAGGTCATGATCTCACGTTTCGTGGGTTCGAGCCCCGCGTCGGGCTCTGTGCTGACTGACAGCTCAGAGCCTGGAGCCTGTTTCAGTCTGTGACTCCCTGTCTCTCTGACCCTCCCCTGCTCACGCTGTCTCTCTCTCTCTCTCTCCTAGAAATAAATAAAACATTAAAAAAAAAATCTTTAAAGCTTTGTTGAGGAGTCTGTGCTTTATTATCAAGACAGTGGGGAAGCACTGGAGGAGGTGTGTGTGGGTAAAGACTTTTGTTGTTGTTGCTCTTTTGTTTTTCCCCTTGATAATAGTTTCTCATATGTGGAACTGCTTGATTAAAGAGGAGAAACAGGGGCACTTGGGTTGCTCAGTTGGCTAGGCATCCGACTCTTGATTTCAGCTCAGGTCATGATCAAACAGTTTGGGAGTCTGAGACCTGCAGCTGGCTCTGTGCTGACATCACCAATTCTTGGGATTTTCTCTCCATCCCTCTCGGCCTTTCCCCCATTCATGAGCTCTTGCTCTCTCTCTCAAAATAAGTAAATAAATTAAGAAAATAAATAAAGGGGAAAAACAGGGGCTCCTCAGTGGCTCAGTCAGTTAAGCGTCTGAGTTCAGATCTTGGAGTTCATGGGTTCAAGCCCTGTATCAGGCTCCACCTGGCAGTGCGGAGCCTGCTTGGGACTCTTTCTCCCTCTCTCTCTCTCTCTCTCTCTCTGCCCCTCCCCACTCGCTTGCTGTCTCAAAAATGAATAAATAAACTTTTTAAAAAATGAAGAGGAGAAACATTTTAAGATTCGTTAAAGTTTAACTATTTATTTTGAGAGAGAAAGAGAGCATGAGTGGGGGAGGGACAGAGACCACAGACCAGAAGTGGGAGAATCCCAAGCAGGCTCCACGCTTAGCATGGAACCTGACTCAAGGCTCAATCTCACGACTGCAAGACCATGACCTGAGCTGATACAAAGCACTTAACCGACTGAGCCACCCAGGTGCCCCAAAATTTTAAGATTCTTAAAACACACGTTCACATTGCTTTCCATAAAATGCAGTACATTCATGGGGTCCCTCCCCTGTTGGGAGATGTTAGTGTTCATAAAGGTCAAAGAAGGGAGCTTTGCCCACAGTGGGGGCACTGGTGAGGTTCTTTTCCTGAATGAGTCCCATGGTGCCCAGGGAATCTGATGTGGAGAGGTTCTTCCAGGTTGGAGTTCTCAGGGTTTTCTTCCTAGAGAGGGGTTGGATGCTCGGTAAGTTCTGTTGAGTCTTGGGATTTCCACATGGGCTTTCTAAAGGTTTATAGTCTTTTTTGTAAAGTAGACCCTTAGAGAGCATTCCCCTCTGAAGTCACAGTGATTGGATGTAGAGTTTCCAGTTTTCTTTCTGCTTTGAAGAAGCTTCATCTTCTCTCCTGATCTTAAAACCTGAGAGAAGACATGGAAGTTTAAAATGTCCCCGTGTCCCCAGGGGAAAGAAAGTGAGGGTGAGAAAAGGGTTTTATTAAGCCAGTAATGGGATAGAAAGTCCTAAATATATCTCCAAGCTTTTTACATCAATTAAGTCTGAAGCTTTCTTTTCTTTCTTCCCTTGAATCCAGTGAACACTTACCTCATCTTGAAGCCAAATCTTTGTTTCTTTCAAATTATGCAGTCCCTTCACCCATGGCTCTTCTCTGTGCTCCACTGGGAAGCTCAGGCCAGGCTTTGGTACTGGATATCCTGGCCACAAAACAGACTGGAAGCACGAGAGTTTGGCTGACCACTGATTGGGAGGGTGATTTCAGGGCCAGGTGGCCTCTCTGTATCCATTTCCTCAGTTAGGATGATTTCACCTAAAGCCTCTGTCAGCAGTATTTCAATATAAAAAAAAAAAAAAAATGAGGGGAAACTCCTTTTGTGCTCCGTTAAAGGCTATTGTCCTCCAGTCTGTGAACAAGGAGTGAATTAGTTCTGTGTTAAAATCAATGCACTAGGGGTGCCTGAATGGCTCAGTTGGTTAAGTAGCAGACTCTTGGTTTAGGCTCCGGTCATTATCTCATTGTTTGTGGGATTGAGCCCTGCATCTGGCTCTGTGCTGACAGCGCAGAGCCTGCTTGGGATTTTCTCTCTCTGCTCCTCCCCTACTCTCTCTCTCAAAATAAACAAACTTAAAAGAATCAATGTACTAAATTTTTAGTTTTACCGTATCTTTGAAAATTTTGATAAAAGAATTATCAAAGTTAGGACTGAAGTGTGATGTCAATCTTCCTAAAATTCTGAGTGTGTCAAAGCTGAGAAACATTTTCTTACTGAGTCCCAAGAGAGAAAAAGCGGTAAAAGTGGGAATGGGAACTGTGTCCTGGTTTCATTTAAGAGATTTTTCCAATGAAAATTGATATGTGAACTGGGTTGGCTGGTGACTGGCAATTGGTGTCTTTACACATTTCTTCTAGCTGAAGCCTAGAAGGGAGTTATCTTGAAGTTAACTGAAACAACTCTCTACCCGTGTTTCTGGCAGTGCTGAGACAGCTGGTGCCATCGTGCCCAGCTCCTTTCCCTGCTCCGTCCTAGCACTCCCTCCCTCGTTGAGAGCAGCTGTGGCGCGCACCCTCCTTCTGTGCCTTCCTCCCCTCCTCACCCTTGACAAAGTTTATTGCTTTGCAATAAAATGTGAATTGGTAAATAGTCATTTGAAAATGCTTAAATACTAACATTACCAAACAATATTAGCAAGTTAGTTTGGCTAATGTTAATCTGAAAAAAAAGGAAATTCTAGAACATTTTACCAAAATATAGGAAGTGGAGCAAAATGCCTTAACTTATATTCACAGAGAGAAGTGACCTATTTCAGAATACAAGGAAAATGCATTTCATATGAAATGCCATTTAAAGTCAGTGTTTTATGATTGGACTTCAAAGCTAAGAGTAAGATCAAAGAGTAATTTGGTATTCATAAAAGCAAACCCTGAGCCATAGATCACAGGAAAGCTCTAGTCCAGGAAAGTGGGATGAGACCAAAGCCAGGGAGAGTGGCAGATAGCAAGCAGAGGCTTAGGGTGGCAGAAGCCTGGAGGCCAGGGTACCCTCAGGTGAGAGGCAGGGAAAGAAGCATGTCAGACTGCCAGGAGCTGCTTATCTGTCTGCTCCCTCACCAACAGGCAGAGACTGGAAAGTCTTAACACTGGGTGCTTCATCAGATACCGGTTGGCAGACCACACACAGACAGCTGCCCCGCCTGAGTGCAAGGGAATCTAGAAGGCCTAAGGAAGGCCTGAAAGCAGCTCCAGAGGCAGAATCTACTGACCATGAGAGCTAAGACCAGGATTAGTAGGAGTTCTTTGTCTGAGATTCAAATGTGTCTTTGTAATAGTCAGGGAGCCACCTATAGCTGAGGACAAGAAAATAGAAGGAAGTAGAATCAGTAATGGTTACCAGAGGCACACTTACTTCCCTTAACTCACTTTTCACCGAAGACCTAAACTAGTTCTTTTCATCTTTTTGGAGGTTTTCAGAACTTGATGGAAGCCATGGATTTGCTTCCTAGAAAATACACATATACATGCAGTATTGCATAAAGTATCAAAAAGTTTAAAAGCTCTCCAAATCCATTTATGTGACCCTCTAGAACTGTGCTGGCCAATACAGTAGCCACTAGGTGGCACTTAGCAGCACGAGTGCATTTCAGCTGCATTTCAGCATCCCAGCAAGTTAAGTGTACAGTGCTGCTCTACAATTTCATGGAGTTAAGAACTCCTGCCCCAATGACCCCCTGCAGATCTACTGACCTGTGACCCCACTCCTAGTAACATACCAGCTATTTTCTATGTCTGAATATAGATACCTCAAAGAAACAGAATACTAACAGTAATTTTGAGTAACAGTCCATCTTGCTTCAAGTCCCCATTAGTAACCTAAATCTAGCAGATGATTCGTTCTTCCCATCTCAGGGTATGTGTAGTTTTGCAAACATTTTCGTGTTCCCATATCCTGCAATAAAAATCCAAGCGGCTTTTCTATGATATAGGGTGAGACTTCGGGAATTTACTGTGTATTAGTAACCGTTAATATTCACTGAGTTTATATTGCCAGGTACCGTTCTAAGCATCCTACACGTAGCTCATTTAATCCTCACTGAATATTATAAGGTGAAGATAGTGTTATCTCCTCAAAACAGATAAGGGAACTGAAGTTTGGTGGTCAGTGAGATTGAGTAACTTGTCTGAGATGAAGTAGTAAATGCCAGCGAAGTGATATTAGGTTAGAATCTGTAATCTCCTGAAATATGTGGAAAACATGAAAATGGCCTTAGAGGACTCTGAGGTCACATGTCTCAGCAAGGGGTTCTGAGAAGGGTTTCTGCGTGTGTGCTGAGGCTGCTGAGGTCACATTTGCCACAACAGCTATGGACCTCTTTCCCTCGAGCGGAACCAGAAAAAACACAAAATAGTCAGGACTCCCTCCACCCAGTCGTCCAAAGCCGGTCCTCACATCACCCTTTTTACTATTACGGCAGCCTGAACTTTAGCGACAGACTAGTTGTGCGACCCTGGACAAGGGCGTTAGCTGACATTCGGTGCCGTTATCTGTTCCATGGGGATGATAACAGCATCTATGTCCTACAGTTTTGAGTGCTGTGAGGCTCCAGCTCCATTAGGCAGGCGCTCAGTAAAAGGTTACTGGTTTTCACGATTCACTCCTGCGACGCTCTTATCTCCGGAGCCCACGGGCCCGACTGTCGCTAGAGGTAAGGGAGGAGCTGAGCCGACTCCCCGGGTTTCCTTCCGTTCCCCGCTCGCAGGGAGGTTCACAAGCTTCATTACAAGACCTAGGAAGGAGCTGAATAACAATTCTGCCCTCGCAGAAGTGGACTATAAGCAGCACGTCCTGGGTCCCCAGGAGCCCTCGGGGACGTCCAGCCTCCAGGAGCTGGACCCTGACGGGGCAAGGGACTGCAGAGTGCTCCCAGCCCCACGGCCCCAGCAGCGTGCCGGAAGCACCGCCGCAGCGCGTGGCTCCCCGCCCTTCCTCCCGGCACCTGTCTCGGCGCAGGCGCGGGCCGCACAACAGACTACAACTCCCGGCAAACCCCTCGGCGACGAGGACCCGGGCTGGTTCGCCGCTTCCCGCCCTCCTTTCCGGCGCAGAGAAGCGGCGGAGAGGACCCTGGCTTCCGTGCTTCCGAGGGCTCAGGGACCGAGGGGCTCTCCCCTGCAGCTCCGAGTAACCAGAGCAAGTGGGGACTGCCTTTAAACCCGTTGTGACCGGGACAGTGATTTTCAAGCTTGTTTGAGGGGGAAGAGCTTGTTAACAATTTGGATTGTTTGGTCCTGCCCGACACTGACGCGCTGGATTTCGCGTGATTCGGGGTTTTCACTTTAGTAAGCTTTCTGGGAATTCTGACCAGGTAGTCGGCCGGTCCCGCCCGCCTTAGGCTTGTTTTCCTCTAAACTTAGCTGCCCCGCCTCTCGTCTCCAATTGGGCTGTCGCTCATCCCGTCCCCTCAGACAACTCTTCCTCTCTGGTTGGTCGGCGGTGAGTCTGTGGCGACACCTGACCCAATAGGCACTAGAATTCGCAGATCGTGATCCGGAAGTTGGTCCCGAGCCTGCGCCGTTGGCTGCGGACGCCTAACGCGCGCTGGGACTTCCGGCGTGAAGCCGAGCTCCTAGGCTTGTGCGAGCGGGAGAGGAGTGTACAAGCGCGGCGTCCGGGTCCTGCCCTGGGGAGGTTTGGCCGGTTCCTGGACAGGGGGGCGGCGCGACGGCGCCCGTGATCGACTGAGGCCAAGGCACCGTAGCCGGCTGCGCCCGGGCTGGGGCTGGGCTCCGTGGGGCCCGCGGAGCCTTCTTGGGCGGGTGCACTGGTTTCGGGGCCAGGGTGCCCCGGGGGGCCTGAGGATGGCGTCGGGCCCGAGCTCCCAAGACCGGGAAGGGCTCCTGATAGTGAAACTGGAGGAGGACTGCGCCTGGAGCCAGGAGCTGCCGCCGCCAGATCCAGGGCCCAGCCCTGAGGCCTCCCACTTACGCTTCAGAAGGTTCCGCTTCCAAGAGGCCGCTGGGCCCCGGGAAGCCCTCAGCCGGCTCCAGGAGCTTTGCCATGAGTGGCTCCGGCCTGAAATGCGCACCAAGGAGCAAATCCTGGAGCTACTGGTCCTGGAGCAGTTCCTGACCATCCTGCCCCAGGAGATCCAGAGCAGGGTGCAGGAGCTGCATCCGGAGAGCGGCGAGGAAGCGGTCACCCTTGTGGAGAGCATGCAGCGAGAGCTCGGGAGGCTGAGGCTACAGGTGAGAGAAAGAGCTGTTGTATCTGCGGTTCGTTTGGCCCCGAGGACTGGGACATCGCGGCGGCCCTGTTCTCCATCCCTATTTACTTGGCCCCCTGAGTAGACTTCACACGGGCAAGAGGTCTTTTTATAGTTTAGTAGGAAGACTCGTTCTCCAGGTTCCTCTGAAGACTGCCCTATTTCCGCATGGAGGCACGGGTTCTGCACCAGTGTGACCCCGGAGTTAATTCTCAGGGTTCAAATCCTCACTCTGCTCCGTAGTAGTTTTGAGACTTTGGGAAAATTACTTAATTTCTTTAGGCTTCAGATTTGCCACTTAGTAAAGCGAGAATGAGAAAATATCTTCCTAGGGTTGTTTTGAGAGTTGCGGGTAGAGCATCATGCAGTTTTCATTACACTGCTGGCTAATGGTGCTTAACGGCCTTTAGCTGTTGTTAGGTTAGACTCAGCAGTCTGGTCTCCTCTGCGGAGCTAGGTAGGGTTAACTGTAGATTTAGAAAAATAGTTTGGCACTGAGGCTCTGAAGGCGTTTGTGCCCCCCGGGGTCACTCAAGTTTAATTTATCCTGGAGTGAGGAATGGAAGCCTGTAGATAAAATTGGGGCGGGGATTGGGGGGGCGGGCGGTCAGAGCTTTGTGGGAAGGTGTGCACAAGGAGCGGACATTCTCCTCTCCAATTTTTCCAATACACATGGGATCAGAAGAGCTTTAAGTATAAACCATCCTTCTTTCTTGCTGGATCCAAAGGGATCGTTGGTGGTTCTCTGCTGAAGGCTTGCCCTCAGAATTCTGTATTAATTTCCCTCCCTATCGGGCCCTGTTATGATGATGAGTGATGTGGGTTGGTTCCCAGGTCACAAACCATAGGCGGGGAACAGAAGTGCTTTTGGAGGAGCCTTTGCCTCTGGAAACAGCACGAGAGTCACCGAGCTTCAAGCTGGAGCCAATGGAGACTGAGCGAAGCCCTGGCCCCAGGCTGCAGGAGCTGCTAGGCCCCAGCCCCAAAAGGGACCCCCAGGCTGTAAAGGAGAGGGGTGAGGAACAGTTGGCTGGGGGGAGGGAGGAGGGGCGTCGGGTTGCCCCCTGACACCAGCAGGTGGAGTACCACTGCCTAGGTGAGGGAATTTCTGGTCTCCGGGTTTGTGGAGTGAAAGACCTAAAGTGGTGGCTTGGGTTCTGTTGGAGATGGGAGGAGGGAGGGGGATCTTTAAGTAAACCCTTGTGGATGCAGAACAGAGACATTTAGAGCTTTGAATCATTGAGGACTTGAGTGCTGCAGGCCAGCAGGGAAGGTGACTGGTGTTCTTTACCCGCACCCTGCCATTCCGGATGTCGCTTTATTATGCCTCTGTTGCCTTCTTTTGCTCATTGTTCAATCCTGAGCAGAGACTGGGTGTTGGGGAATGGATACCGTGTTGGAATAATCCTTGGGTTCCCAAGAATTACAAATGCCATTCTCACCATGATTTCTGTCACCTTCAGCATTGTCTGCTCCCTGGCTTTCTCTCTTTCCTGCTGAAGGAAACATGGAAGACAAGGAAATGACCGGGCCCCAGGTGATGTGGAAGTTCTCATTGTCTCCCCCAGCACCCCTCCCCCCAGTTGTTCTTGTGGGGACAGGGTCTTTTGCTCTTGGAGAGGATCCTTTCGCCCTCGCCATGTGCAGCCTCCCCGCCTTCTTTATTTATTTCCTCCACACCTCACTTGTGGGCCTGGCACCCTTCTCCCCCATGAAATGTGTCCTTGGCACCCTGGGTTTTGCCCCTGTAACTCATGATTCTGCTTGAATTGTTCTTGGTGCCTCAGGGGCTAAAGGAGATCTTGTGCTGTTTCAGTTGCCTGAGAGCTTAGAGGACGTGGCTATGTACATCTCCCAGGAGGAGTGGGGGCATCAGGATCCTAGTAAGAGGGCCCTCTCCAGGGACACGGTGCAGGAGAGTTATGAGAATGTGGACTCACTGGGTAAGGACTTCTTTTCCAGGGATGAAGACTGAGCTGTTACTGACCAGGGGCCTGTCCCTTCGCCACTCACCTCCTGGACTTAAGTTCTGAGTTTTGCTAGAAGACCTCCCTTTTTCTAAAGCACCCTGGATGAGGATCCATTAAATATCTGCCATTTGGCACAGTTGGCAAACTTAACGGCCCCCAGCTGCCAGAGCCGAAGGCAGGGAGTGTCAGTTTTAATGGACTTCCCAGGGCAGAACAAATCAAATCCACTGACAGCCTCCTCCCCACCCCACCCCCATCACACACACTCTCTGTTCAGCCTCCCCCACCCCCCCCCCATTGCACACATTCTCCATTCTTGATGCCTTGCAATTTTGAGATGCTTATTCTTTTGGTCTCACTCCTATTTTCTATGCTTCATTAGTACTTCTAGGCCCTTCTCCAACTTTCAGGGGGCACTGGGATCAACATTCCAGCTTAGCAGCTATCCCAGCCCTTAAAAATTCAGGAACGGGGGGAAGGCCTTTGGGGAATTTGAACCCCCCCCCCCCCACGTATACATACACACACACACACACACACACACACACACACACACATATATACTTATATACGTAATGGGATAAATAAATTAAGATGAATCTATGTGTTGAACTGTTACGCAGAGATTAAAAATGATGCCTATGAAATGTGACAAAAAACTGATGGTTGGATTTGGGTAGAGAGTGTACAGACATATAATTCCTTCAACTTGGGATGTAGGAAAATTCTTACAATAAAAAGCTGTGGGAAGTCTTAAATAACATAAAACAATTCTGTGTACGTTATGACTATAGCCATACTGACACATGGTAGAAAAGAGTCACACATGCTTTGTTTTCATACATCCCTTGTTTGTAAAGAGAGGCACAGTTATCAGCTCCCTTGCACTAATTGCATAGAGGTAACCGCTGGGTTTGGTTCCCTTCACTGGGACCTTCTCCAGGCTCTCCATCACTGCCCTAAGCTGAGCCTGGCTCTCACTGAGTGCTACGTACGAAGACAAGTTTGGATCATCAGTTCTTGGAAGTAAACTGTTTTAAAGTGCATGTTTTCCAGGATTGGTGTGAGGTTTTAGGTTTAGCATTGCACAGGAAGGGCGCTCCTGGGTTTTAACCTCCGGGTTGTCTGAGAGCCCCAGATTTCTTTTTGATTGTCCATCACATTATATTTTATCCTGGAGATGTCTAGTGCATTGTAGTTCAAGCTTATATTTATCTGTGAGAGTCTGGGCTCTTTTATAATATAAACTAATTCATCAAAAACTGATCATTCTAATTATGTTTGGTTGTTTTAATTACAAAAGTGTATATCCTTATTGCAGAATATCCCAAGTACTGCAAAAGTGTAAAAAGAAAACCATAGTCTCTCTTCTCCAATTTCTTTTTCTAGAGGCAACCACTGGGAACAGTTTAGTGTACTGTCAGACTTATTTATTGTGCCGTCTGTGGATATGTCCACTAAGCACAGGGGACAAGATTATCTTTGTTTCTTTTGCCTGGTAGAGGAGAGTGGTGACATAGACCTCTCTTTCTTTCATTGTGAACAGAGTCTCAGGTTCCCAGTCAGGAGGCCCTAAATACCCAGGTGGAACAAGGAGGAAAGCCATGGGACCCCAGTGTTCAGACTTGCAAGGAAGGCCTGAGTCCCAGAGGCCCAGCTCCAGGTAAGAAGGAATGAAGATGAGTAGCTTGCCCAGCTACACTCCCACTGTTGGGAGGGAAGCCTTTAAGGACTGGGGTGGAGGGTTAGCCCATCACCGCTGCCAGGAAGATGCAGTGCTTCCCGTGTGCCCACTTCCATCCCAGGGTGCAGGATGTAAGGGGCATTCACTCCTGGGGTCCACCCTAGTCCCAGCCCTGCCCCACCCCACCCATTTCCACAGGGCAGAAGCCAGAGGCTCAGTTGTAGAGGGAGTTGGGGGCCTGTACGCGCGAATTCAGCACTGCTCTGAGCTCTGGTGCCTTTGCGATGGCCCATCTCTCCTCTCTAGGGTACTCTGCCTACATGGGGAAAATGGGAAACTGAGATAGAACCAGCATTTCTGGACTTCTGCCCTACAGGGAGTAGCAGATACATGGGATTTCCTTTTGTCTTGTGTAGGAATAATGTAGGGGTTTGGTTTCTCTTGCTCTGCCAGGAGAAGAGAAGTTTGAGAACCAGGAAGAAAGTGCTCAATCC